CTTCCATTATCTTTACTTTCAGTTGAATTCTTTCATAAACGTTACAGCTGTGAAACTCAATAGTCGATGGAGCTGTTGTATTTAAATCTATCCCTCTTTTCATCCTAATCAAACTCTTTGTTGTAGCATCAATATTTAGTCATATGAACTTGGCTTTCCTCTCACATAACTTGTAATCTGAATCTTAGTTGATTTTCCAAAAGATGCAGTAAGCAAGCAATCTTTGAATAATTCTTTTCCTTAGGGAATTCTCAAAGAGGTTGTAGTTATGAGTATAATGTCGATTATACTCAACAAGAGTGTGCTACAAAATCTTCATTAGTTCAGATTTCTTATCAGAATGATAAAATTAACTATTTATCTTCAAGTACTCATTAGGTAATAATTGGAAAACTTATGTCTAGGCATTATTCTAATGACTCTTGTGTTTTTTATTACTTTATTGTTCTAAATAAATGGTAGAAGAATTTCAAAGTAACCACAATGATACTTCAATGAAGTCAAGGTTGGCAGGAGATCCAGTACCTCAAGGTATGAAATAAGGTCATTGCAATTATTTTTTTGTTCTCTAATATATCTTAAGTGTTATTACCATAGTTTTTTATTTTCTAAATCTTTTTGATATGTGCAGAAGTGTTGTATAAGGACATTGAATTTTCTTATCATGAAAATTCAAGTGATAAGAGCTTTGAGTTTGAAGATGATTCGTGGATATTAGATGGTAAGAAATTGAATTTTTGGTATAATAGCTTCAAATTATTATGTATTATTTTATTATAAAACTTGATGAAAAATTGAATCTTACAGATGATACCACAACATTCCAGAATAAAGAAAGGGTACCAACCATTAAAAAAAATCTGATTTCTAAATCAGAGGGTGAGATACATTCATTTGTCTTGTGGTTGTGTTGATTTTGTTATCATATTTCATATTTTAGTGGCCAAGTTACTGTATATTGCAGCATATATGGATGATGGTGATGTTGTCTATACATGCAACTCTTGTGGTGCGTTGTCGTGGTGTAATGAAAAAAGAGAGGACCAAAAGTCTACAATTAACCATTTATTTTTACTATGTTGCATGAGAGGCAAGGTTCAATTGCCTCCTATGGAGTCACCACCTCAACCTTTGAAGTAGCTTTTTTTTTTTGGAAAAGATAACACAATCTTCAAAGAATTTCCACACAAACATTAGACCATACAACATATTTTCTTTTATGTCTGTGGGTGACAAGATTGATCATTCTAAGAATTGTGGTAATGGTCCATACTCATTCATATTATCTGGTATGAACTACCATAGGATTGGTAGTTTATTGCCTTCGAAAAGATCAAAACCAGTATATTCTTAGCTATATATATATATATATATATATATATGATACTGATAATGAAGTTGAAAATCGCATATTTGCTATTAGGTTTGTTTAGCACTATAATTTGCTTATTCTTCTAAATTGCCAAACATATATATCTCCACAAATATTTTGTTAATATATTCCTGCATTTTCAATATTTTCTACATGTTTTTTTTATAATGTTAATATTCTTTACAGCAAGCATTTTAAGGAAAGCACTATTGATCCTGAAATAGTTCTTCAAATCAAGGAGATGCTTGATGCGTGCAATCCATTTGTAAAACAGTATCGTTTAGCTTCATCAATCATTAACAGTTGCAAGCATAGTAATGTCAAGATATGTTTGATTAGCACAAGACAAAATGATGGGCGAACCCACAATTTACCAAGTTCTTCTGAAGTAGTTGCATTAGTTATTGGTGATTTTGACATGAATTTTCATTTGAAGAATATTATAGTTGAAGAACTATCAGGATCTATACAATGAATCAATGAGCTATATGCATCATACCTTCCCCTCCAATATCCAATCTTATTCCCTAGAGGGGAGGATGGTTATAAAGATGATATTGAACACCACATTGAAATTTTGTCTCGGACGAAGAAGAAAAAGAGGCTTAGCATTAGGGAGTTCCTTGCCTATCCCTTAATGAATCGAGAAAGTGAGTTATTAATAATTCTACATGCTAGTAGATTATTATAGCAACTCATTGTTGATGGTTACATAATACTTGAATCTTAGAGACTTTTATGGGTGAGAACACACCAAAAGGAACTTAGGGTAGATCTCTACCAAGGATTGTCTGATGCATTGTTAAGTGGTGAAAGAAGTGTATCTTCTACTAGAAAACATATTATACTTCCCTCATCCTTTATAGGTGGTGATTGATACATGATACAGAATTACCAAGTTGCCATGGCTATATGTAGATGGGCTGGATATCCTGACTTATTCATCACCTTTACATGCAATCTTACTTGGCCAAAGATAACAAGATTTTGTCAGAAATACTCAATCTCTCCTTCAAATAGGCCAGACATTATTTGCAGGGTATTTAGGATGAAATTAAAAGCACTGATGAAAACAATTTGAAAGAAAAAATTATTTGGTACTATTCGTGCAGGTATAGTCTCTAATTTTTCCATGATCTTCAATTTTTATTTCTAAAAATAATGAAGACTTATTCACAATTCAATGTTTGTTTGTTTCAAATTATCTTTAAAATTAAAATTTAACTTCTACCTTTTTACATCTTATTATACAACACTGTATTTAAAATTCATATTTTTAAGTTTTAATATATCAAGATTTTTTTCACAAAGTATTGTGAGGTATAAATTTATACTTCTAAGTATATTTAATTATGGCATATTGGCTTGCATGGCTAAATTTTTTTTAATATAATTGAACTTCATAATTATATTGTTTAAAAATATTAGTTGTGTTTCTTACTATGTATTCTGTCTTATATAATAATTGTTGGTTTTTGTGATGTCTATCAATTGTCTTACTCTTCGTTAAATTTTGCTAATCCTCTAATTTTTTTATAATTAGTATCAAACTTTTATTAACTCTATAATTTGGAATCTAATACTAGCATGAATGTTGTTACATTTATATATAATCCTCACGTTTCTAAGAATTGTATAATTGTTATTTTTGGTAATATTACCTCAATGTGAATTAGGTTATTATTTATAGATATTTCCTACCACCTAATTCTAATGCTTTTCTTAATAAATTGTGTTCACTTATTTGATTCTTTGAATATGACATGTCTTCTTTTTTGTCACATGTAAATATATAGGATTCAAGTATTACCTTATAGATATTCATTTAGTGAAAATAATTATATAATTGTTCACTAACTTTTGCATCATTTTTAAATCATTATATTTTCCATTGGTGTTAAAGTTAACTATGTTTTTAGATTTTAAATATTGCCTTATTTCAGTTAATTGAATTTTAATGTTTCCGACAATGTAAAATACATTAAATATATGGAAGTAAAAATTTTAATTATTACAATGTCTTACACATAAATTATTTCTTTTTTCAATCTCATGATTTTTTTATCTAAAATTTTTACAAAAGTATATACTATTGAGTTTTAAAAAAGAGGTCTCCCACATGTAGATATTTTGTTGTTTCTTGATAAACATGATAAGTTGAAAGAGCCAAATGATATAGACAATATTGTCTCTGCTAAAATCCTAGACTTTGAATCTTCTCTTATAATGTATGACTTGGTAAAGAAATTAATGGTACATGGTCCGTGCAGTACATCAAATCCTAAATCACCTTGCATGATTGAACGAAAATGTAGTGAGTATTTTCCTAAAAAATTCAATGACCATACAACTATTGATAACGATGGTTATCCTACTTATAGGAGAAGAGATGATGGTAGGATAGTTGATATCAAAGGTGTTTCATTAGATAATTAGTATGTTGTCCCATACAATCCTACTCTTTTGGCAATGTTTGAAGCTCATACAAATGTTGAAAAATGAAATCAATCCACATCTATAAAGTACTTATTCAAATACATAACTAAGGGAAATGATAGAGTTTTTGCTTTTATTTATGAGAGCAGCTAAGATGGAAATTCCAAACACACGTTTGGTGAGATAAGGCAGTATTATAATTTTAGATACATTTCAACTTGTGAAGCATCATGGCATTTATTTGCATTTGAAATACACCATAGATATCCTTTCATTGAAAGGCTTAGTTTTCATTTGCCTAACCAACAGTATATCATGTATTCTAATAATGATGATGTTGCGGAATTGTTAGACAAACTAAGAGTTTGTGAATCAATGTTTCTCTCATAGATGCAATTTAATGGCTCTAATGACTTTGCAAAAACTCTTACATATTTAGAGTTTCCTCAAGATTTTGTTTATCAGCAAACTAAGCGTCAATGGAAACCTAAGGAAGAGGGGTTTGCTGTTGGTAGAATTACTCATGTTGCACCATTAATTGGAGAGCTTTACTACATATGAATTATTCTCACTAAAGTAAAAGGGCCAAAGTTATCTTTGGATCTTACGACCATAGATGGTGTTTCATACTACACATTCAGAGATGCATGCTTTGCTCTTGGTTTGTTAGATGATGATAAAGAATACATATATGCTATAAAGGAGGCATCTAATTGGGCATCCGGAATTTCTTTGAGGAAAATGTTTGTTAGCATGCTTTTATGTTCATGCCTCAATCATTTGAACTATGTATGGAATGAGACATCTACGCTACTTTCAGAAGATATGCTATATATACCTTGCAATGATATGTCATTTTCAAGTATGTATTTTGTTTGCAATGTAGTTTATCTAATTTTTTAATTTCTAACAATTTCATATCATATATGTATGTTTTGATGAAGGTGTTAATATATCACATAATGATAAGGAAGAAGCTGCATTGAGAGAAATTGAAATGCTTTTAAAGCAAAATGGAAGGAGTCTTTTAGATTACCTGTCGCTTCCTTTCCCATCATCATCTCCATTGATTGATGTGATAAATCATTTAATCTTATAAGAATTGCTTTATGATCATGTTGCTTTACAAAGTGAGTCAGATTCTCTTATCAAATCATTAACAGATGAGCAAAAAATCATTTTTGATAATGTCATGTTGTCACTGTCTTCACCAACTGGTGGTTTCTTCTTTGTTAATGGATTTGGAGGAATAGGAAAGACTTATTTATGGAAGGATCTGTCTTCAACATTATGGGCCAAAGGAGACATAGTTCTTACCGTTGTTTCAAGTGGTATCGCATCTACTCTACTACTGTTAGGGAGGACTACTTATTCAAGGTTTGCTATTCCAATCTAAATAAATAAGGATTCAATGTGTTGCATTAAACAGAATTCTCCTTTAGCTCATCTAATTCAATGCACAAAATTAATACTTTGGGATGAAGCTCCAATGGTCCAACATTTTTGTGTTGAAGCATTAGACAGAACTTTAAGAGATATCATGCATTATAACCATTTCTTTGGTGGCAAATCCATTGTATTTGGAGGTGATTTTTGACTTACCTACCGGTAATCCTAAAAGGTTTGAGAGCTAATATTGTAAATGCATGTATTAGTTCATCATATCTTTAGGACCATTGCACAATTTTTAATCTTTCAAAGAACATGCGATTAAGCACTTCACTATTAAATCATGATCATGACAAACTAGAAAAGTTTTCTAAATGGTTGTTGGATGTTAGGGATGGGAAGTTAGGCCTCCCTCATAATGGTGTAGCAGAGATTGAAATACTAAGTGAATTACTTATTTATGACTATCAAGATCCAATTAGTGCTATTGTTTCTTCAACATATCCTGATCTCATAGATCATCTTTCTAATGCCAATTATTTCAATGATATGGCAATACTTGCACCAACTATGGAGAGAGTCAACCAATTGAATGAATACATGTGTTCCATTTTTCTTGGTGATTTAGTTGAGTATTTAAGTTGGGATTCTGTTTGTAGATCGTTTGTGGATAAGGATTCTTTTGATGATATTTATACTACTGAGTTTTTGAACACTATTAATAGTTCTAGATTACCTCCCGATAAGCTTGTGTTAAAGGTAGGTACCCCAATCATGTTGTTAAGGAACATTGACCAAGCATCTGGTCTTTGTAATGGGACAAGATTAAAGATAAGCATGCTAGGTAAAACAGTAATTGAAGCCATAACAATGAGTGGCTCCCACAAAGGACAAAAGGTTCTCATTCATAGGATGGACAATGAATCCTTCTGAGAGTAGGTGGCCTTTTCGCATGCAAAGAAGACAATTTCCAATTACTCTCTCTTTTGCTATGACAATAAACAAGAGTCAAGGTCAATCACTGTGACATGTAGGTTTGTTTTTGCCAAAGCTTGTGTTTACACATGGCTAGTTATATGTTGCTTTGTCAAGAGTAAGGAGTGTAGATGGCCTGAAAATACTTTTGAATCATAACAATCATCATATAGCAAAGACAACTAATGTTGTGTACAGAAAGGTTTTTCATTTTTTAGAATGATTGGTTACATTCGGCAGAATCAAGATTGTAAGTATGTGAATTATTTACATCCATGCATTTTTATTGTAGTGTTTCTTATAATCCCTTTACCAATGTTGATTACATTCATTATACATAATACATTAATGAAAGTATTAAATTTTAACTTTTTCTCCATCAATTTATAATTATTATATACTTTTTTTTTCAGGTATGTTCATTGCTTTCATGATAATCACTGGCATCCTTTAAGAAATGAAATGTACTTTTTAAAAGGTGTTGGAAAAATCAATATATTATTTATTTTTTTTAAAGTCATGTTCTTTTGTCTATGAATTTTTTCCTTCTTCACATTATTTTAGTGTTTAATTATTTTGGATTGTATTGTTACTGAATTTAATGCTCCTCGTGCATCGCACGGGACGGTGTTGCTAGCATTAAAAGTAAAATAATAACTTAGTATAGAACATATAAAATTAGTTAAATGTATTTAAATTAGTAAAGATTCAATATTTTTAAATTTTTTTTGGCTGTCATGATCTTTTGTTTCTTATATTCATTCCTTTTTTCATTTATAGCAAGTTCTTTTTAAACAAATAAAATATAATAATCATTCATAAAATTTATTGAAAAAAATTGATGTAAAATTAATTTTTGGTGTAAATTAAGTTGAACCATTTTCAATTTTTTTAAATCACTTCAAAATTAATTATTATCTTATCATTTCAAACTTATTTTAAATATTTCTTTATATTTAATTAATCTTAATTGTATCATAATTAAAATAACAAAAAGTACACCTAAAAATATCATGTGCATCACAAATTATTGTGATATTTATAAATTTTAGTTTGAAATTAGCTTGTGCTTTGTAAATGTTAATAGCTAGCACTAATAAATTTATTTTCACCAAATAACATCTTATATTATGAATAATTATTAACTATTGTTATTATTTATTTAATTTTTTTGTTTTTCACAAACTCTGTGCAAATGCACAGGCCACATATTAGTTTAACTAGTGTTATAACTTATAGTAATTTAATATTAGTTATAATTTGTTAGTTGACACCAGGGGTGGAACCAGGGTATTGATAGTAGAGGGGCCAGATTTATCAAAAAAATAATAAATATATATAGAATTTTTTAATTTTTAGATATTTAAATAAGTGATTTTATAAGATAATAATACATTGTAATTCGATGATATTTTGAGATAATAAAAAAAGTAAAGAGTAAGCTTATTATGTTATTTTTAAAAAATATATGAAGAATAAATAAAAATTTTATATTTTTAATATATTTTTGTATATTTTGATGAAACTATATATATATATATAACATACTCTATAAATTTTGAAAAATAATAATTTATGTGTGATTTTCAAATTAAGTAAAAAAAAACCTAAATACAGAATACAAAAATGAATTAATTTTTTTCTTTTTTCTTTCCATCAAAATGAATACTTAATGCTTCTGGTAAAAAAATTAACAGTAAATAATAATATAAAACATTTTTATTGGTATTTAATATATTAAAGCAGTGTTATATGATGCAATAATATGTGTTGGGGGTGATGCTGACATCAGCTATGTTAGTGGGTTTTGAGAGATATTTTTTAGTAAAAAAAAAAAGGGGGATTGGGAGCCAAAACCCCCCACTTCCTTCAAAAGACTAAACCCCTGTCGTTCGCTAAAGGGGTGGACAAGTTTAAGATGTGATTGGGTTCTGTCTCCGGTTAACACTCTAAACACATATGGTAATTTAATATCATTTATGATGAGCTCTGAACAGAATTTTCAAACAGCATATTTTAAAGAATAATTTAATTTAATTAGAATATTTTAATACAAACTTTGATACCTGCAAGTTGCAACAATTTAGTGTCATTTACAACATCATGATCCACGTTTTTAGGGGCCTACAATGATTTATTTACTTTTACTTGTGATAATTTAGTATTATTCAGGATATTTCATTTGAAACTTTTAAGGATCCATAATAATTTGGTATTATTCATGACATAGCCTTAAAGTATGTTAATAAATTTTCTTCTTCTTCTTACCTATGATGACTTAGTATCATTTATGATATCTCATATGAGATTTTTAATGATTCACGGTAATTTAGTATCACTTATAATATAAGTTAAAAGTATGTCAAGAAATTTTTTTGCTTTTAAATAATGTACATAGAGAATTTTAAGGTGAATTAGTATTACTCACATCAATGTGGCAAAAGTCTACAATAATTTAGTATTACTTATGTATTTATATATATATATATATATATATATATAAAGCTATACAAATACTTTATCTTTGTGATCTCTTCCTCTCTCTTAGGAAACGAATCATTCATTGGTCAAAAATAAGGATCAGTACAAGTAAATCAACAGCAAACTCGTTTGGCCATTTAAGGAGGTCATGAGAACATTAGTCACAATAAAAATAAACTAGAAGCATCAATGCTCAAAATTCCAAGACCACACACATTTTGGGACAAGCCAAAAACAAAAATAGGCAAATCAAAATGAGGATGCAGCCTGGGAAGAATCATTTTCAAATGGTAATCAAATCAAAACACTAGAGGAGGCATAATATGGCAATCAAATGTGTGGAGCAAAACACAGCCAAGGACGTGTAACCCAAACAAGAGCAACGTGCCATGGATCAGTCAGTATATGGCAACCATTACTAGGATCTGCAAGAACCAGAATGATGGTGAAATGTAAACTAGGAAAAGCCTTTTGATTTTGCAAATCGAGCACCCAAAGCTAGAGGAACATGGAAGTAAAGTAAACTTAAAAAAAAACTAGAACCATTCACCTTGAAAGCTTTTCTAACGTTTTATGTCTCCCTCCTCCTTTGAAGCTCTCATTCCCTCCTTTTTATTGACCCAACTAGGGTTTCTTCTCATCAATGACCCAATCATATCAAATCAACATCAATGACTCAACCATATACAAATAATTTCATTAACCTTTAAAACTTAATAATAAACCTTCTTGAACTTTTAGATTTATACAAATAATCCCTAACCATTAATTATATATCCTTTAAATTTTATTTTTGTGTGCATTTAAGCCTCAAAACTTTAATTGATATATGAATAACCCCCCTAAACTTTAAGTTATGGGTAAATAATTAATATATAAAATTAATCATATAGAGTTATTTGCATAAATATAAGAGTTGAGGGGGGTTTATTGTAAAGTTTCAAAGGTTAAAAATGTTTTATGCATGTGATTCAAAGTTTAGGAGGGATATTGTATAATTTAGCCATTTTTATTTGACTCTTGCTTTAATCATTTCATATTCAAATCAAATAATTTAATTTGATAGAATCATAATTGTGGAGATTTGGGGTTCACAAAAAAGGAAAATATTTTTTATTTGATTTATGAATTTATTTTTTATCATGAAAAAACCCATTCTTCCTTTTATTCATTTTATTCATTTCATTTCATTCTATTGGTTTATTTATTTTTGAATTACGTCTAGAAAACTAGATAAAATATGATATTCACAGTTGCTCCTCTTTACTTATTTCATGAGTGAGGAAAGTGAATATGTTTTTTTTTAATTCTCATCTAAGAAGTAAATAAAGATGAGAACACATATTTTTAAGAGATTTTAACGTCTTATTGAGTTTGAGAAGAATTATTTTATTTCAAGTAACTTTGGACAATGGTTTGATACTTTGGTTAATTAATATCTATGATTTAAATTAGTAATTTTATTATATTAATTTGTTTTTATTTTATGTATTTATTTAAAATGACAAAAACATTTTAAAAAAATTGTAAAAGATCTATCCGGCTGGCCAGCCCTAAGTTTGCAAGGTCGATCGCTCCAACTTTGTAAATGGAAATTTTTTGCATAAGCGGACTTTTCAAGGCTGCCCTTTGGAATTCAAGCCTATCAACTATTAATGAAGGCCCCTTTAATGCCAGTTTAGCCTTTTTATCACTCCTATCGATAGGATTATTATTAAATCACTTGACAGTGAATTGCATGAACCGCCTTGTGGAACAAGATATCAGATTCTATGTCAGTAAGTGAGCTCATCTCGTTGGCGTTAATAGTATTATATTACTACAAGATAAGAATTAAGAAATAAACTATTTCCTTGTTTTTGGATGAATCCATTGCCTTGTTACCGTATTGACTAAACTCTCTTTGTTGAACACGTACGATTGATGTTGAAAATTCCTTTTTTTCTTGAATGACAGGTTACCTCCGGCAGGCCTATATTATATTCAAACCAATGAAAAGCTTCATTGCTGAAGTATATATTGACTTCTGATGCTTAATCATCCACGTGGTTTGACATTTTCCTATCCTAGGATTTGTGTTTGTTTTCTTCTTGTCATATGGGAAAAGTTGGCAACTATATATTACATACCTTACCTTGGAAACGTAGTCCTCATGTAATGAACGAGATAACAAAGCTTTCTTGGTTTTCTTCCACTTTTAGGTTCTGTGATATTTCATTTTCTCTGTAGCCTCCTCTTAAGCTATAATGTTGCCAGACAATTTGAAGTTGGATTCCATATACTTAACTGCAGCCTTTGTAGCCATAGTTTTGGCTGTGTTTGTGCTTAAGAAAGATGGCAGGAGCAGAAAATATCATGTTGTTGCTGGCACTGTCTTGCACCAACTGTTCAATTTTCATAGGCTTCATGACTACATGACAGACCTTTCAGCAAAACACAAAACTTACAGGCTACTTAGCTTAGGCAGAAATGAGATTTACACCACAGACCCCATTAATGTTGAATACATCCTCAAGACAAACTTTCCAAACTATGGAAAGGTACTACTACATCAGTTTCGGTTCCTGATTTGTTTTTGTCTAATTTCAATATCAGATGTGGTAGTATACTGCTATTCTATTTTAGTTTTTATTAATCTTGTTTAACCTTTGTAATTCTTAGAATTTACTCTTAGAATTTCTTCATTGTGACGCAGGGTGAGCACCAGCATACCATGTTGAAGGACCTTCTGGGTGATGGGATATTTACAGTGGATGGAGAGAAGTGGAAAAAACAGAGAAAGACAGCAAGCTATCAATTCTCCACCAGGATTTTGAGAGATTTCAGCAGTTCAGTGTTCAAGTCTACTGCTGTTAAACTTGTGGCGATGGTATCTGATGCTTCAATCTCAAATCAGATGTTAGAAATACAAGTAAGATTTTTTAAACAGATATAGTGATAAATATATCTTCAGATAGGAGTTTTTCGCTCATTCTTAACATCATGACTGATAAATTAGGCCTGGCATGACTTGTTTATAAACAAGACAGGCCCAAAGCTTGTTTGAAGGCTTGTTTGGTTAAAGAGACTAAACTTATTTGTTCAAGACCTGACTTGTTTAGTATTTTTTTTATATATTTATCTTATTTAATTTAATTTATGCATTTATAGTATTACCCTTACATTATTTAATTTATATTTTATTCAGATTTATTACAAGTTTTACTTTAATTTAATTTTAATGTCATATAGTCTTAAAAGCCTGCGCATCAAAAGCTTTGAGCCTAGGCTTTGAGTGGATTTAAAGTCCACTTAAAGCTTTTAAGACTTAGTCTTATAAATCATTTTAAAAGCCTATTTCATATATATATTTTTAAAAAAGCTTCAAACAAAGCTGAGCCTATCACAGGCTTAGGTCTAAGCTTGCTTAAAACTCTTGTTATAGGTTCAAGCATATGTGACCAAAATTTAGCCTAGCTTAATCTCTTCTCATTCCTAGTGACAAAGAATTACTATTCCTTTTAGTTACAGATGAAAAAGGAATAACAAGAAATCTGTTCATGGTGGATATTGCCAGGATTTGTTTTTCAAATCAACCCTAGACTCAGTGTTCAAGGTTATTCTTGGTGTAGAACTAGACACCTTGAGGGGAACATACGAAGATGGCACCAAGTTCTCCAATGCTTTCAATGATGCAAGTGAAATAACTACACTTCGCTATGTTGATATTTTCTGGAAAATCAAGAGGTTCATGCACATAGGATTAGAAGCCTCAATGGGGAAAAATATCAAAGTGGTTGATGAATTTGTGTACAAAGTAATAAAAAGCAAGACTGAGCAAGTCATGAAATCACCAGATGGATCTGCAGGGAAGGACTTACTGTCAAGGTTTCTAGACTTGGAAGAGACAGATCCAAAGTTCCTTAAAGACATCATTCTCAGTTTTATCATTGCAGGAAAAGACACAACGGCAACCACAATGTCCTGGTTCCTTTACACTCTCTGCAAATATCCTCATGTTCAGGACAGGATTGTAGAAGAAACCAAAGAGGCCACCAATTTAGAAAGCTTTTCATCTGTTGAGGAACTTGCTGATAGTATAACTGAAGAAGCACTTGAAAATATGCAATATCTAACTGCAGCTTTGACTGAGACACTCAGACTTTACCCAGCAGTTCCATGGGTGATTGAACATATAGTCTTTTTTTCTAATAATGAGAATTGATCTTTTTTTTTTTTTTGGTTTTCTCTGACAATGTCATATGATGTTTCTGTGACAGGATGGTAAGATCTGTTTCTCGGATGATACATTGCCAGATGGATTTAGTGTCAAAAAAGGAGATTTTGTTTCATACCTGCCTTATGCCATGGGAAGAATGAAATACGTGTGGGGTGATGATGCTGAGGAATTCAAGCCAGAGAGATGGCTGGACACAAATGGAAAGTTCCAGCAAGAAAGTCCTTTCAAATTCACAGCTTTTCAGGTAAAAAGCTATACAAGCATGCTTCCCTCTTATAAATAAATTCATTCTCTTACGACAAAATAAATAAATAAATTGAATCTCAGACCTAGTGCATGGTACAAAATCTAAAAAGTAAGTTGTATTATTCATGGCTTATGAACATTGCAATTTACTAGAGATTTATATAATAATATAAATGATTGTACCATTGTAGAATTGAAAAGTACTTTAAGGTAGCATTTAGAACGATTGATTTGAATTTGAATTTTTTTTTTTGAAATAGAATGATTGATTTAAATTTGAATTTTTTTACTTAAAATCTCACATTTAAAATTTATATATTTAAAATTCTTTTGTTTGAGTAATATAAAAAAATTTCAAAAGGAGAAAAAGAAACAATTGAAATTTAAAATGAAAATTGAAAATGATTAATTTACTTTTATTTTTTAATCGACGAAAGATGAAAATGAAATATAAAAAAAGAGACAGGTAGTGAAAATATAAAAAAAATGAGAGTACTAAAGTGACTGAAATTTTAAATAATTAGGACAAAACATAAAGGAATTATAATAAGAAGTGAATTTGGATTGAATTCAAATTTATATATTTTTAGTCATTCAAATGAGAGATTTGTCCCAAATCCAAATCCCTATTAATTCAAAGTTAAAGTATAGCTTTAAATTTTGTCATCACCAGGCATTCACTAATTGTATTATGCTGTCGTCTATAATCAAAAAATTAAGTTGCAAAAAAAAAAAAATCTTTGAAGCATTGATATATGAACTCTCTTGTTTTAAAACCACAGGCTGGTCCAAGACAGTGCCTAGGGAAGGATTTCTCTTACAGACAGATGAAGATCTTCTCTGCAATCCTTTTAAGTAGCCACAAGTTCAAGCTTGCAGATGAAAGCAAAAAAGCTCATTACAGGACTACTCTTACTCTGCATATGGATGGGGGTCTGCACCTTCATGCTCACCCTAGATTGGGACACCTAAAACCCTAGATACTCTACAAAAGTGATGTTGCACATTAATGACATGATGTTACTATAATGCAGGGACGGAGCCAGGATTTAAGAATAAAAGAGGCCAATATTAAAAAAACATATTAATTATAAGTCAAAAGTTTGTAATATCTATATAATATAAAAAAAATTAAAAAAATTGGGGGGCCACACCCCTGCTAGCCCCCCCTCCCTCCGCCACTGTTATAATGCATGTTTGGTATATGGAATTGTATTAAAAAAAAATGGGATAAATGTATTCCTCATTTCTTTTCTAAAAAATACTTTTCTACTTACTATATAAGGCATAAGCTCGCGTCCTTCTCAGTGAAATGATTACATAAGTAGAAGAAGATGCAGCATTGCAATTACATGATATATTAATTAACATTTAGATTGTATTAAAGTCCATAGTATGTATTAGACATATATTATTACAGTTCACCTCTCTCTTGAATGTGAAGGTCTATTGTGTTGACCAAGCTTATGCATGCGGCTTTTCTCTCTACTTTTGTATTCTTCGGTTCAAAAAGTTAAGTTATACATTGGATTTCTGAAAAACTGACATTATTTACTACTATTGCATTTGTTAGAAATAATTGTTGTTTATGATTTGGTACATAGATTTAAAAAGTTATTAGAGTTTAGATTAAATATCCATGTATCAAAGAGTTACTTCTAACTATACTAAGACTCCAGTTACCAAAATTTTCATTGTTAAATGATAAAATGGTATAAAAATAAATGTTTCATCAAAATTTAAAAATGACAGTTATTATAAAGCAGCAGAAATAGTTATTAGTCATGTTATTCTCAAAATTGTGCAAGACAAAATTAGCCGATACTGATCACCCAGAAAATCAATAACAATAGCAAAACGGGTGAAAAAAATTGCTCCCCTCATCTTTTCAGACATTTTTTCCAAGCTAAGCTTGATCAAAATACACGACACTTAGCAAGTTAGTATTTGTAGACATATTTTTTTTTTCAATTTTTTCCTTATATTTACTTATTAATGTGGGTTTCTTGTGTGCAGCGTGAGAAATATTATATGTTTTTCATTTTTCATAATCTCTTTCTAATTGAATTCATTAGATAGTAATTTAGGTTGAGAGGAAAAAGGGAAAGATATGTTACTTCTTCATGAGAATAAGAAAATATTCCCCTCGTCCTAATTGTTATAGGATAAAGTTTTAAAGCCATATTTAAACTTAAATATGGAACAAAGATATAATTGTTAATTCTTTTTAATATTACTTCTCTTTAATTGTAAAAAGTTGTAATTTCCAAATACGCCTTATTGTGGTTATTAATTTTTGAGAATGGCAAAATTGAAAAGTCAAATAAGTTTTAATTACAAATTTAGGAATATTAATTATAATTCTTTAAGAATCATAAGATTAATTAAGTTTGTCTTATAATTAAGATTGAGGGAATAACTAAATTTTAAAAATATGCAAAATATAGTTGATATTGTCTTACTCCCTTTTAATTACAATATAAATCATTATTAACTATTCATTTATATTTCTAAAAAATTGGTTAAAATCTTGGTTTCCTAAAATTTTTTTACATCTTTTTAGCTGTGTCCTTGAGTATAATAAATATAATCCCTCTATTATAAAATGTAGGATATTTTTTTAAGAGTTAGATGTTAAAAAATGTAAAGTATTTTTAGTATTTTAAGGTATAATTAATGTATTTTTTTCAAAAGTGTTAATAATAAATAAATAAATTTATATTTATTTTAAAATAAAATATCATATTAAATAAGAATAAATATGTAAAAATAATGCTAGTTTAAAAATAAGTAACTATTTTATTAAGTGAGAATTGATTTAAAATACAGTACATTTTTTATTTTTGAATGAATTGAGTAACATTTTACTTATTCAAAACTCCTTCATTAATTACTTAATAAAGTAAGGATATAATTAATATATATATATATATATATATATATAACACCAACTTGATGTTCTATATTTTACACCAAGCAAACCTTGTAAAAAATAACTTATACCATGGTCAACCACTCGGACAAGAGAGAGTAAAAGAGCGACCATTAAAATCACTCCATTGACAAACAATCCAAGTGGGCCAGATTTAGGAAAAAATCAGCCACCGAAAATGAAGCGAGCAGAGCTACTTTAACTCCGCACCAAGCACTGAAGTACAGGGTTGAAGCACAAGACAGCCTCAGTATAGGTCACTAGTGCTACGATATAACCTCTTTAAATAGTTGGTTCTTTTGTTCAATATTTGTAAGTATTCTGTTTTGAATAACTCGTCGGTGTGGCTCTAATAACTCCTCTGCCTCAACCTCACCTGCCAACGACAACACTACCACAAGAACAACGCTTCATTTACACCTTTTTATATATAGCTTTCCCTCAACACTGTTCACCATCTCTGTTCTGGTTCTTGCACTCATGGAAGCCACCATTTCCAAGCAAAACCAAGTTCCTCTCTCTCTCTCACTCTCTCCCATACAATCAATTATTCCACTCTCTTCTCTCACCATTTTCTTTCAAAACTCTCTCAATACTGTGTCTTTTGACTCCCTTACTGCTTACATTGTTTCTCCCTCAAAACTCTGATCCCATCATGCTCCATTTCCTTCTTCTCTGTATTTTCCTCCTCTGTTTTGTACTCAAGCACTTGTTTATGGATGAAACCTTTATGCCTTGTTACCGTATTGACTAAACTCTTGTTACACTAAAACCAGAAATGCAGGAATGAACGCACAAAATGATGAGATTAACGAGAAGCTATGTATTATTACTGTCACGATTGCAAACTCAGTACAAGACGGAATCGCGTAATGCGTAACAGAAAGGGAAATCAGATTTGCAGAACAAATCTGCCAGACGAGAGAGAATTCGTCAGACGGGAAAAGTTTCCATTACAATCAACATGCCTCTCTCTTCTCAGCCACCCACAATTAAACCTCACCATCAAGGGCCCTCAACTTCCAAGTGGGCCTCTTAATTCTCTTACTCTTCCTGAGCCCAACCTGTACTGGATGGTTCGTCTCTTCTGGACTGATATCACTTGAGCCCTCCACTCTAGCCTCATGCACAGATGGATCCTCTGGGACCATAACACTACCACCTCCCATGAAATTGACCTTGCCCACAAGGTCAAAGCTTGGATAGAGTTGAGCCAACTCATCAACGTATTCCCAGGATGCAGGGGTGACGCCATCCCAACGAATGAGAGCTTGGGCAACCAGCTGATCACCCAACGGTGCCCAACGCACTGCTTCGACCTCCACCGGCTGGATAATAGGACCTTCAGGCATAGTTAGCAAGGGTAATGGGATCGTCTCTGCCGTACAGTCGCCATGACATTTATTGAGAAGTGAAACATGAAAAACAGAGTGAATTCGGGTAGTGGCATGTAGGTCTAAATGATACGCAACGGAACCAATCTTAGCAAGTATTTTGAAAGGACCAAAGTAACGCATAGCATGCTTTTGAAAACGACGCAGCTGAACCGAATGTTGACGATACGGCTGTAACTTCACAAACACAAACTCACCCACTTCGTATTGAACCTCACGTCGTTTAGCATCAGCGAAGTGCTTCATACGAGCCTGAGTGTGAGTCAAATGGTGCTTAAGATCTGCTAAGACAGCATCTCGTTCTATCATCAGTTGATGCAAGCCGGGTGGAGTGTCCTCTGTTGAAGAGTGGCGAAGCAGGGGCGGTGGGAGCCTACCGTAAACAGCTTGAAAAGGGGTCATTCCTATAGCAGAATGGTGGGAAGTGTTGTACCAGTACTCAGCCCATGCTAAATGATCAAGCCAACGACGTGGGTGGTCACTTACAAAGCACCGGAGATACATTTCGAGACTCTTATTAACAGCCTCCGTCTGACCATCCGTTTGTGGGTGGTATGCAGAACTCATACGTAATTGAGTGCCTTGAAGACGAGCCAGATGTTTCCAAAAAGCACCAGTAAAAACCTTGTCTCGATCAGACACTATTGTACGAGGGACCCCATGTAGTTTGACCACGTGCTCCAAGAAAACAAGAGCGACAAAATGACTGATATAATGTGCAGTCAAAGGCATAAAGTGGGCATATTTAGACAGTTGATCAACCACTACAAAGATCACTCAATATCCCTTGATCACTGGTAAACCCGTAATAAAGTCCATGGCAATCTCTTCCCAGATGTGTTCAGGTATGGGTAATGGATTAAGCAACCCAGCAGGTTGAAGTTGGCAGGATTTTGCGCGTTGACAAACCAAATAGTGTAACACATATGTTCGAATCTCACGACGCATGTTCTGCCAGTGAAACAGTGCAGCGATTCTCTGAAATGTTCGAAAACAGCCCGCGTGACCTCCAACCACCGTGTCATGAAATTCGCGAATTATTTTAGTGGTCAACACAGAATCATCATGAGGAATGACAAGCTTCTTCTTCCAGTATACGTCACCCTGATGTAAATCAAAATTCAACAGAGAGGACGGGTCGTGTAACAGCTGGTCTTTGAGGTGTTGAATGAATGGAGAACGTCGAACGGCCTCAAGAACCTGATCGATGAATGTATTCTGCAACTGGGAGAAAGCAAGTAGCGTTGCTCGCGACAAGGAGTCAGCTGCTTGATTATGAGCCCCTGGCTTGTATTGGATGGAAAAGCAATAGCCCATCAACTTAGGAAGGCATGCTTCTTGCATTGGTGTGGTCATTCGTTGATCCAATAAGTGGCGAAGACGTGCGTGGTCAGTTTGTATGATAAATGGGTGGCCGAATAAGTAATGGCGGAATCTAGCCACAGCCTCCGTGATGGCATATAACTCACGGTCGTAGATTGATTGTGCTTGCATGCGAGTGGACAATTTCTTAGAAAAAATAAGCAATGGGGTGTCCATTTTGACTCACAACAGCACCAATTCCGATTCTTGACGCATCTGTCTCAAGCACAAAAGACATAGTAACATCAGGCAAAGGCAATATGGGGGCTGTAACCAAGGCATGTTTCAAACATTCGAAGGCCTGTTGAGGCTCGTCGGACCAGAGAAACGAATCTTTTTGCAACAGTCTGGTCAATGGTCCAGCAATATTGACATAATTTTTGATGAATTTCCTGTAATAGCCAGATAATCCCAAGAACCCCCCGAGTTGAGTAACATTCGTTGGGATAGGCCATAAAGTAACCGCCCTTACTTTATCCGGATCAACTTCCGCTCCTCATGCTGAAACAAAGTGTCCAAGATAATTAATTCGTTGCTTTCCAAATGCACATTTAGACATTTTGGCAAATAAAAAATGCTGTGCAAGTTTCTGCAAAACCAACTCAACATGGTGCAAATGAGTTTCCCAGTCAGGACTGTAAACTAAAATATCATCAAAAAATATTAGAACAAACTGACGCAGACATGATCAAAAAATGGAATTCATGAGAGCCTGAAATGTAGCAGGGGCATTTGTGAGCCCAAATGGCATGACAAGCCATTCATACAAGCCTTGATGGGTTCGAAAAGCGGTCTTCTGTCTGTCTTTTTCATTCATCAATATCTGATGGTATCCAGC